ATTTTGGAATACTTATACCATCTCATATTCAGTTGATGTCATGAATGGCAAAGAGGCAGACTTTTCGTTGGCACTTCCTCAGTCATAACCCACATCTTTCCTTTGAAACATGCAGGAGATGATTCTGCGGCGACAGTCTGGAGCACAGAGATTGTGACTTTGAAAATGATAAATGTCTGACAAAACTGTAGCTAATTAGCACGAACCGCACTCCCGACTGAAGGCGCAGATGTTGAAGATGGTAAATGGAGTTAGGTGAAGGGTTTGTTATGATTCAATGCATCTGATTGTTTTCGAACCCAAAAAGGTGTGGAGGCAGCAGCGTGGGGCAAACACCGAGCTGAGTGGCACACGTGTGTTGTGGGGAAAATGAACCATAGAATTATAAACGTGACAGACTGGAGGGATTGCCGAGTTATATTTGTTAGCAGAAAAGGAACACTAACAGGCAATTTCCACAGTAGGCGTTAACAGCGCATACGCGTTGACTGCGCGCTCTCTGTGCGTAACATTATTTGGGTGTATCTACACAGGTCGTGCGCAGGTCCTTCTGATGCTGTCCCTGTGTAGTCTGTGGAGCAGTGCAGAGGACAGTACAGAGACTGATGTAGAGCAACAGAAAACAGATGCATGTGTTTGTCTTCATGGTCTCTGTGCGCTGGTTTGGCCAGACGCCAGACTTTATAAAAGAATAAAAACTATGTCCAGAATCACTGTAAAACCTGCTGCTCCTCCTGCTGATGTTTAGATACAAGTGCAGTGTGTGTGTGTGTGTGTGAGTGTGTGTGTGTGTGTGTGTGTGGATGCGATCTAGAGCCAAGGGTCACTATAAAAATCCTGTTTCACATGTGTTTTCAATGGAGACGCGTTGCTGCACGCACAAAATTAGAAATTGATCCTAAATCAGGCGCAGCCTCGTGTCATACATCCGTCACACGCGCCTAGTATGTAGTGTAAATATCACCATTGGTTAACATGGAAAAATTGTATGCGCCTCTGCTGCGCATACAACACGTACGTGCTTTAAAGGAATAGGCCCTGTGTTTACATACTGACATGTGTTCTTACCTTAGACTAGTTGATATGTACCTGTCTGGTCTTTGTCCGTGCTCTCTGTCAGGCAAACGGAGCACAAGCACAGCCTCTTCCACAGACTGTATAGTTCCAAATCAGCTCCCGTTAGAACCTCCCAAACTCTTCCACGTGTTCCATATTTAAATACAGTTACGTGACGTTACTCTACAAAGTATAGTAATGCAGAAATCTAACATGTCGATTTTCTCAGCGGATAAAAAGAGGTACTATATTGTGAGGCGTAATATAGAAAAAATAGATAGAAGCAGCGTGAGCTCCCCTCCCACCACCACCAACCATTCACACACACACCAGACTCATTCTAATGTGGGGGAAGTGTCTTGCCTAAAGACACAACCACAGTTTGGCACTTTACAGCTGCAGCCGCCCCACTGTGGCACCTGCTGTTCCCAGAGGTCTCCCATCACAGTACTAACCAGGCCTTGTCATGCTTAGCTCCAGAGTTCTGACAGGATCTGGCTTTCACTTTCAAGTATGAGCACAAATATTAGTACATATTGTATATATTTTAGTAACTTATTGCGAACTACTAGAATTAAAGTAGACATAAAATGAAAACGCAACATTTTTACCACGTTACAACAATGTTCCTCATCAAAAACATTGTTCCTATTTTTAGACCCAACCATGTGGATTTCAGGAACTTCTGGTACAAAAATGTTTTTTCTGGTCTGACTAAAAGCATGTCTCAAACCAGATCTGGACCTCACTCCCCTCAGACCTCCGCAAACACTGGCTCTCTTCCCCTGTTCAAATCCAGACTCAAAACTCACCTTTTCACAGTCACATGACCAGTCACATGACCAGTCACACGACCAGTCACCCCAACACCTTCGTCCAGTTCTGTTGCTTTAATTGTTTTAAATAATGATAAATGTGTTTTTCATTGCACTCTGTTTTTGACCATGTTTGTAATTCTTTTTTTCTATTCAATTTATTTCAGAATTTTTTGACGATTCAAAAACCATTTTAGGCCCTTAAAATGGTCAAAATAAGGTCTGACAAAGGAATAGCAAAGCTTATAGACCCCTGTTCAGTGTCCTGAAGTGTTTTTAAAGGTGCTTTTAAATTAAATATATCATTAGTATTATTAATATGATGTCAATGCACCACTTTCACAAAAGTATTGCCATTATATTTGAGCACTATCGCAAGTGAAATTACACTTTTTACGCAGTTGCATATCTGAGTTTTGAGCCAGTAATTTTCACATTTTCATCCGCCCCCCCTCCTTCCCCCTGGTGGTAGCATAGGGACTTGCAGGTGGATTTCATGTTTTACCCTTCATACTTGTTTGAGCATATAGTTTTATGATGAAGATATTAAAACACATTGTAAAACATGAAAGGAGCAAACAAATAAACAGCAAACTCATCGTCATTTAAAGACCAAAAGTAACGATCATATTTCTTCTTTAAAGACACCAGCGGGCGCCGAACACAACAACAACACACATGGGGACTTGAACCACACACTTCAGTCATTTCTGTCATGATGTGGTTTAGCGACAGTGGCTCAGCTCGATGGATGTTTGATATTTTGTGAACTATTTATGTGAGAAACAAGTCCTTGTTCTGTAGGTTAGACCTTTATAAACTTGTTCTGAAATGTGGGAACTGTGGATGTAAATATAATGTTTTGTTTCTCGACGCTGTTGTTTTTCTCTCCCAGAAAAGGTCATGTTCAGAAAATACAATCCTCACATAAAGCTCTGTGTGTGATGTCACTGTTTCAGAAGAACCTGCACTAGACCTGGTTCTGTGGAAGAATGATAGACAGACACATAGATAGATAGACAGATAGATAGATAGACAGATAGATAGACAGATAGACAGATAGATAGATAGATAGATAGATAGATAGATAGATAGACAGATAGACAGATAGACAGATAGACAGATATGGACAGATGGACAGATGGACAGATAGATAGACAGATGGACAGATGGACAGATAGATAGATAGACAGATAGATAGATAGATAGATAGATAGATAGATAGATAGATAGATAGACAGACAGATAGATAGATAGATAGATAGATAGATAGATAGATAGACAGATAGACAGATAGACAGATAGACAGATAGACAGATGGACAGATGGACAGATGGACAGATAGATAGACAGATGGACAGATGGACAGATAGATAGATAGACAGATAGATAGATAGATAGATAGATAGATAGACAGATAGACAGATGGATAGATAGACAGATAGACAGATAGATAGATAGATAGATAGATAGATAGATAGATAGACAGACAGATAGACAGATAGATAGATAGATAGATAGACAGATAGACAGATGGATAGATAGACAGATAGACAGATAGATAGATAGATAGATAGATAGATAGATAGATAGACAGACAGATAGATAGATAGATAGACAGATGGATGGATAGACAGATAGATAGATAGACAGATAGACAGATAGACAGATAGACAGATAGATAGACAGATAGACAGATAGATAGACAGACAGACAGACAGACAGACAGACTCATAGATAGACAGACAGACTCATAGATAGACAGACAGACAGATAGACTCATAGATAGACAGACAGACTCATAGATAGACAGACAGACAGACAGACAGACAGACAGACTCATAGATAGACAGACAGACTCATAGATAGACAGACAGACTCATAGATAGACAGACAGACAGATAGACTCATAGATAGACAGACAGACTCATAGATAGACAGACAGACAAATAGACTCATAGATAGACAGACAGACTCATAGATAGACAGACAGACAAATAGACTCATAGATAGACAGACAGACAGATAGACTCATAGATAGACAGACAGACAGATAGACTCATAGATAGACAGACAGACAGATAGACTCATAGATAGACAGACAGACAGATAGACTCATAGATAGACAGACAGACAGATAGACTCATAGATAGACAGACAGACAGATAGACTCATAGATAGACAGACAGACAGATAGACTCATAGATAGACAGACAGACAGATAGACTCATAGATGGATAGATAGATAGACAGATAGATAGATGTGTGAAGAGGAAATGTACAGTATATCCATGTATGAAGTCAAACTGAATCCTGTATGAACCTTTTTGCAGATAAAATAGTGAAATGCAGTTGGTTCCTCCCTTCAGTGTCTGAGCCGTGGGGACTTCCATTCTCTGCTCCAGGCTTTGAAGCCAACCTCGCCCTGAACCCTTGTTATGTGCTAAAAACCAAACTGAAAACAAAACCTGAAGAGAATGAATATTTAAATCACTGCCTGTGCTACGAAGCAAGGCACGTTTATTTATATGGCACGATTCATACACAAGGAAACTCAAAGTACTGAACAAAACAAGATGGAAACAGTCTCACAAGGCATTCAAATAAATATCACAGTACATTAAAAACACAACTGGATTTTTTACGTGGATTTAAACATTGTCAGAGAAGAGGCCTGTCTCACATCTTCAGGAAGACTGTTCCAGATTTTAGCATGAATCTGAAATGCAGCCTCCCCATGTTTAGTCCTGACTCTGGGACCAGCAGGAGTCCTGTCCCTGTGCTCCTCAGAGTCCCAGTGCTCCTCAGAGTCCCAGCAGGAGTCCAGTCCCTGTGCTCCTCAGGCATATTTACATGTATAATGTATATTAATCTGCACCATCCCTTTGATAAATCAATAAAATGAAAATATTGTACTTTTCTCAGTGTGAAATGAGACATTAAATTGCCTCATCTCTTGAATTAAGACAAAATGGCTTTTAATAAATTGGAAATCATTGCAGTGGCCTTTAAAACAACCCTGATACACTGTGGAAAAGTCCTTTGTTGTGATTGCTTTTGTGTGTACCTTAGCGAGGACTTTGTTGTGTCTGTCTAACTGAAGTGTTCTGTTCCCTCTGGGGTCCACAGGTCGGAGGTCACACCATGCTGCCGATCCGCTGGATGCCCCCGGAGAGCATCATGTACCGGAAGTTCTCCACCGAGAGCGACGTCTGGAGCTTTGGCGTGATCCTGTGGGAGACCTTCACTTACGGGAAGCAGCCATGGTTCCAACTGGGAAACAACGAGGTACAGTCACGAATCTATAACATCTGGATAGAGTAATACCATGGAACATTTATAATGGCGAACATTTATAATGTAAACGTGGTCGATGTTGCGCTTTCGGATCATTTTTGTATATTTTTTGACATGTGTTTCACTAACAAACCACCAGTGGACTCTGCAACTGTACGAAGAAGACACATAAATGAAAATGCGGGTGAACTATTTATGGGAATGATAAACTTTGAGAATGCATCGTATTCTACTGTAGATGAACTGTTTAACTCTGTCACCTCTAGTGTTTTGAAAGTTCTGGACGCCATCGCTCCTGTGAAGGTTAAAATAGTGAAAAATAAGCAGAAGGCGCCGTGGGCTAAAGCAGACTCGGTCAGGGCACAAAAGAGAAAGTGCCGGAGGGTCGAGCGGAAGTGGCGCAAGTCCAACCTCCAGGTTGATTACGAGATCTTCAAAGATAAGTTGTGCGAGTTTAACCGGGTGCTACGTAGTACGAGAGAAAGGTATTTTTCTGAAATGATTGAAGGCTGCAGCAACAATCTGCGTGTTCTGTTTTCAACAGTTAATAGATTAACAAACCCCCCTGTTCAGATGCCATTAGAGCTAACTTCCAAACGTAAATGTAATGAGTTTGCACATTTTTTCAATGACAAGGTTCAAGGCATCAAAAACGCCATTGTCTCCAATCCACAGATAACAATCCAACAGCCAGAAAGGCTCTTTGAGCTAACTTACTTTGCACCTGTAAATGATCAAACTGTCCAAGAGATAATCTCCAGTTTGAGCTCCACCACATGCAGCTTGGATGTACTACCCACTAGATTTCTGAAGTCTGTTCTGAGCAGTCTGTTACCTTCACTCACACAGATAGTAAACATGTCCCTTCATTCTGGAATATTCCCAAAGGCCCTGAAAACTGCAGTCATCAGGCCCCTGCTAAAAAAGAGCAGTCTGGATGCTACGGTACTTAACAACTATCGTCCCATCTCAAATCTTCCATTTATGGGGAAAGTCCTTGAGAAAGTTGTCTACCTACAGCTTACTAGATTTCTTATAATCAACAACTCATTTGATATGTTTCAGTCCGGCTTTAGACCCCACCACAGCACTGAGACTGCTCTCGTCAAGGTTACAAATGATATCCGTCTGAACACTGACGCAGGCAAAGTCTCAATCTTAATCTTGTTAGATCTGAGTGCTGCCTTTGACACTGTCGACCATGAGATCCTCTTACAGAGACTAGAGAACTGGGTTGGCGTCGCTGGCACCGCCCTAAGTTGGTTTAGGTCTTACCTTGAAGACAGGAAGTACTTTGTGGAGATTGGAAACTGTGTCTCAGATCATATGGCCCTGACCTGTGGAGTCCCACAGGGGTCGATCCTGGGACCTCTTCTGTTCAATCTCTACATGCTGCCGTTAGGTCAGTTAATACGCAGAAACAAAGTGTCCTATCATAACTATGCAGACGACACTCAGATCTATGTCTCACTGACTGCAGGAGAACATGGACCAGTGGACTCACTCCTTCACTGTATCCAACAGATCAGTGAGTGGATGCAAAACAACTTCCTTCAGCTAAACGCAGACAAAACTGAAATGATTGTCTTTGGTCCCCAGAAACAAAGAGAGAGCGTCATCTGTCATCTACAGTCTCTCTCCCTAAAACCTTCAAACAAGGTCAGAAATCTAGGGGTAATACTGGACTCAGACTTAAATTTTAATAGCCACATCAAATCAGTAACATCAGCAGCTTTTTACCATCTAAAAAACATTGCCAGGATCAAAAACATAGTGTCTAAAGCAGACCTGGAGATTCTTATCCATGCATTTGTCTCCAGTAGGTTAGACTACTGCAATGGCCTGCTCACAGGTCTGTCCAAACAGGCTGTAAAACAGCTGCAGTACATTCAAAATGCAGCAGCTCGAGTCCTGACTAGAACCAGGAAGTACGACCACATTAGTCCAGTCCTCAGGTCTCTGCACTGGCTTCCTGTGGCTCAGAGAATAGACTTTAAAACAGCTCTGCTTGTGTACAAGTCTCTCCATGGCCTCGCACCAAAATATATTAGTGACATGTTAGTCCCATATGAACCAGCCCGGACTCTGAGGAGCACAGGGACTCCTGCTGGGACTCTGAGGAGCACAGGGACTGGACTCCTGCTGGGACTCTGAGGAGCACAGGGACTGGACTCCTGCTGGGACTCTGAGGAGCACAGGGACTGGCCTCCTGCTGGGACTCTGAGGAGCACAGGGACTGGACTCCTGTTAGTGCCCAGAGTCAGAACTAAACATGGGGAGGCTGCTTTTCAGATTCATGCTGCTAAAATCTGGAACAATCTTCCTGAAGATGTGAGACAGGCCTCCTCTCTGACAATGTTTAAAACCAGGTTAAAAACGGTGCTGTTTAGCTGTGCTACAACTGAGGGATTTTATATTTTTATCTTTCGTTTTAATGTTCTGTGATTATTTATGATTTTAATGCTATCTTGTTCAGCACTTTGAGTTGCCTTGTGTATGAATTGTGCTATACAAATAAACTTGCCTTGCCTTGCCATCTAGAGTAACATCTGGATAGAGTAATACCATGGATCTATAATAACATCTGGATAGAGTAATACCATGGATCTAGAATAACATCTGGATAGAGTAATACCATGGATCTAGAGTAACATCTGGATAGAGTAATACCATGGATCTAGAATAACATCTGGATAGAGTAATACCATGGATCTAGAGTGACATCTGGATAGAGCAATACCATGGATCTAGAATAACATCTGGATAGAGTAATACCATGGATCTAGAATAACATCTGGATAGAGTAATACCATGGATCTATAATAACATCCGGATAGAGTAATACCATGGATCTAGAATAACATCTGGATAGAGTAATACCATGGATCTAGAATAACATCTGGATAGAGTAATACCATGGATCTAGAATAACATCTGGATAGAGTAATACCATGGATCTAGAATAACATCTGGATAGAGTAATACCATGGATCTAGAATAACATCTGGATAGAGTAATACCATGGATCTAGAGTAACATCTGGATAGAGTAATACCATGGATCTAGAATAACATCTGGATAGAGTAATACCATGGATCTAGAATAACATCTGGATAGAGTAATACCATGGATCTAGAATAACATCTGGATAGAGTAATACCATGGATCTATAATAACATCTGGATAGAGTAATACCATGGATCTAGAATAACATCTGGATAGAGTAATACCATGGATCTAGAATAACATCTGGATAGAGTAATACCATGGATCTAGAATAACATCTGGATAGAGTAATACCATGGATCTATAGTAACATCTGGATAGAGTAATACCGTGGATCTAGAGTAACATCTGGATAGAGTAATACCATGAATCTAGAGTAACATCTGGATAGAGTAATACCATGGATCTAGAGTAACATCTGGATAGAGCAATACCATGGATCTAGAGTAACATCTGGATAGAGTAATACCATGGATCTAGAGTAACATCTGGATAGAGTAATACCATGGATCTAGAGTAACATCTGGATAGAGTAATACCATGGATCTAGAGTAACATCTGGATAGAGCAATACCATGGATCTAGAATAACATCTGGATAGAGTAATACCATGGATCTAGAATAACATCTGGATAGAGTAATACCATGGATCTAGAACATCTGGATAGAGTAATACCATGGATCTAGAATAACATCTGGATAGAGTAATACCATGGATCTCGAATAACATCTGGATAGAGTAATACCATGGATCTAGAATAACATCTGGATAGAGTAATACCATGGATCTAGAATAACATCTGGATAGAGTAATACCATGGATCTAGAATAACATCTGGATAGAGTAATACCATGGATCTAGAATAACATCTGGATAGAGTAATACCATGGATCTAGAATAACATCTGGATAGAGTAATACCATGGATCTAGAATAACATCTGGATAGAGTAATACCATGGATCTAGAATAACATCTGGATAGAGTAATACCATGGATCTAGAGTAACATCTGGATAGAGTAATACCATGGATCTAGAGTAACATCTGGATAGAGTAATACCATGGATCTAGAGTAACATCTGGATAGAGTAATACCATGGATCTAGAATAACATCTGGATAGAGTAATACCATGGATCTAGAATAACATCTGGATAGAGTAATACCATGGATCTAGAGTAACATCTGGATAGAGTAATACCATGGATCTAGAATAACATTTGGATAGAGTAATACCATGGATCTAGAATAACATCTGGATAGAGTAATACCATGGATCTAGAATAACATTTGGATAGAGTAATACCATGGATCTAGAATAACATTTGGATAGAGTAATACCATGGATCTAGAATAACATCTGGATAGAGTAATACCATGGATCTAGAGTAACATCTGGATAGAGTAATACCATGGATCTAGAGTAACATCTGGATAGAATAACATCTGGATAGAGCAATACCATGGATCTAGAATAACATTTGGATAGAGTAATACCATGGATCTAGAATAACATTTGGATAGAGTAATACCATGGATCTAGAATAACATCTGGATAGAGTAATACCATGGATCTAGAGTAACATCTGGATAGAGTAATACCATGGATCTAGAGTAACATCTGGATAGAGTAATACCATGGATCTAGAGTAACATCTGGATAGAGTAATACCATGGATCTAGAATAACATCTGGATAGAGTATTACTTGCTGTACCACCCATGGCCACAGGGTTCACGTGGGCTAAACAGAAAAATGTCCCATAGAATTCAATGTAAACTAAAACAGACCTCACCTGACAGAGAACCTGACAGAGAACCTGACAGAGAACCCGACAGAGAACCTGACAGTGAACCTGACAGAGAACCTGACAGAGAACCTGACAGTGAACCTGACAGAGACCCTGACAGTGAACCTGACAGAGACCCTGACAGTGAACCTACATATATGTCGAATTCTGTGGGATTTTAGTGTCCCTTGTCGTC